CACACACACACACACACCATTTTATTGGCACATAATCCACATGTCATGCAATTCAATCGTCCGATCATACCAAGAATAATCGTGCAATCTTTATCACCATCAATTTTAGAACGTAGCCCCCCCAATGATGAAAACACTTTTAAGATGGGTTGGGCAATCACATTCAGTTCTCGTGCTCCCTCCGCCTCCCAGCTTCAGTGTTGACTCCTGGAATCTCCTCCCTCTCATCTCCAAAAACCCTTGTGTCAGTTTTTATCTGTGCATCCACTATTTTGTTTCACGGACTGATAGCCCACCAGGACAAAAATGAAATACAGTGGAAAGGATAAAACAATAGTAATGTAAAGTTAAAGACGCAAACAATGAGTAAGACAGAAAAAAACCACCATCAATATTTGAAAATCCAGGGAAGAAGTTTTTGTCATGGTATAACCTTGCACCTGGAGCAAATTCCGGTTGAGTCCAGAAGGGAGGAAAACTGACCAAATATCAAGTTTGATCCAGAGTAGTCCGGCTTACATCGATCAATGTTTGACAGTAGGGCTGTTCCAGACCTTTGCCTGTGGCTAGAGAGGATCTGCCAGTGGCTTAATCTGACTAGATAATCTGCGGATGGGTTTTGGGTGCCCACTGTCCTCCATAGCCTTCCACGCATTGGGTGTTCACAATTTCAGCTCTGATACTTATCCCTTTGTCATATTTGACTTTTGTTATTGTCATGTTTGGATCAAACTGGTTGGTGTGCTTTTTCCATGTGGACTTAGTTGACTCCTTGCTTAGATGGCTGCTTGTTTGAATACAATGTAGGCTATCAGTCTTTTTTTTTTTTTTCTTTCATTCCTGGATCAAGATTTTTATTAGGGTTTAAAAAGTTGTGCTTCTCTAATTCTGTCTTTAAAAAAAAAAATCATTTTATTGGACTCGTACAACTCTTTATATCCATCCATCCGTCCATCCATTGTGTTAAGCACAATTGTACATTTGTTGCCATCATCATTCTCAAAATATTCACTTTCTACTTGAGGCCTTGGTATCAGCTCCTCATTCCCCACCCCCACCCCCCCATGAACCCTTGATAATTTATAAATTATTATTTTGTCGTGTCTTACATTGTCCGACGTCTCCCTTCACCCACTTTTCTGTTGTCTGTCCCCCAGGGAGGGGGTGATATGTAGAACTTTGTGATTGGATCCCCCTCTCTCCTCCACCTTCCCCTTGTCACTGGTATTGCCACTCTCACCACTGGCCCTGAGAGCCTCATCTGTCCTGGATTCCCAGTGTTTCCAGTTCCTATTGTTCCTATGGACCTGCTCTGGTCTACAGGCTGTCAGGCTTTCTGAGAGCCGATAGCCCCATCTTCCTCGTGCACAGTGGCTGTCGGTTGAAACCAGCACACCCATCACCACCACCAGGGCTTGCTCTTTCAGGGTCGTCATAACCTTGACACCATGGCTTGTTCCAGTAGCAAATTGGGCCTCAGACCTGACTGTTTCAAAATTAGACCACAGGTTGGATTCGCCATTAAAGAAAGGGAAGGCTTCTTCAGCTTACTGAAAAGTGGGACTATGAAATACTTACTCCAGCTGTTTGTACTCTGAGTATCTGTTTAAGGAAATGCTCGGGTCATATTGTTTCATCCCACAGTTTGGGTTTGATTCCTTATCTTTAGAAAGTTCTCTGAGGCACGTGACTTCCGAGGCAGTGAGGTATGCGCTCTGTTTGTTGAATACGTGCATAAAAATGAGTTTTACTCTATTACCCTATCACGAAGGTTTGGCCCTATTTTTTTCTAAGTAATATTGGTAGATGAGTTTATTTTATGAGCTTGCTGTAGCGCTCTTTTTTTTTTTTTGTAGCGCTCTTTTGTTTCAATTATTTCCCTTTTAAGGTGAGTGCTGAAAGCTGTTTTCCTTTGGACTTTTCATTGACCTGAATTGATATTAAAATTAAAGTCAGATGGCAATATCTGATGCGGGATTTTAGGCCCACTTTTTTGTTGTTCTTCAGAAAGTTCCAAGCGCACTGCCATCAAGTTGATTCTGCCTCATGAGAGACCCTATAGAACAGGGTAGAATGGCCCCTGTGGGTTTCCAAGACCCTAATTCTTTACAGGAGTAGAAAGCCTCATCTTTCTCCTTTACCAAAAGGCAGCTTGTTGCAGATCTGGTAGGATAGAGTGTCAGAGGTGTGTTCTCCCTGAGTGTGATGTCCCGTAGTGTGCACTGCCTCAGAGAGCAGTGTTCGTAGCCAGTATTGTTTGACTTTATGCAGTTACATAGTTGTACATCTTTAAATCAAAACGTCTGGCGCCAGCATATCGGTGAAGGGTGCACAGAGAGCGATCATAAACTATGCCTTTCATGGCATCCAGCACTAAGGAACTAGACACAGGTTAGCTCCTGAAACTTCTCCACTGACTGTAAAGCCATTTTGAGTATCTAACAATCCGGAAATGTGCAAGGGAAAGTAAAAAAATATTGCTGCAAAGTCACAGAACTCTTCACTAAACAAAACAAATCAAGAGGTAGAGGTATTGTCTCAAGGTGACTCTTTCTAGGTCTCCACACTTCTGAGGATGATGCTCCCCTGTCTATAACCCTCCCCCAAGGAGTTCTGGGTTCGCCCAATGTGCAGCTTTGGCATCAGTGAGGAACGGAAGTTACGTTCCTTTGAAGTGGTCTTGAGTTGGGGAACCGGTCTAAAGGACTGAGCTGGAGGGTGGGTGGGGAAGACTTCCCAGCGAAATTCTTGTGGGACAGCAGTTATTACCCTCAAGAAATGTACAGGTCCATTGTCGAGGTGAGAAAGGATAACACGGGTCAACGTGTAGAGCGTGCTAAGTGCAGCTTATGGTATGTAGACACACACAGTATCTACAGGGAGCAAGGCTCTGAGTCTGTACTGTCCGTTCCTTTAGCACTGTTCTGTGATGATCCGTGCGCCGTTTGTCTGGAGAGCAGCCTATGTCAGGCGAGGCAGGAAACACCGGTGAGGAATGGGGAAGGAAATAAGGCAGGGAAGGCAGCCAGTACCGTAATGGAGCTGCCTGCCACCATGGGTGGTCATGGGAGCTTGCTCCTTCAGGGAAATCTCTGCAAGTGGTATAAGTCCACAGAATTATCCTGCCCGGGAAGGGTGTGCTGTGCAATGCCAAGTCACAGGTCGCTGGTTGAGGACGACTCTCGAGGTAGTATGGTAATTCCTTGGCACACGTAGCCTGCTGTGTATGTGGGCTGAGCAGAGATTTCAGGTCCCTTCGATTGGACATTGGCCAGAGCCACAGAGGAATTTGAGCGGCTAAGTGGGGCACTGACACCATCTGCTAGGGAAAGCCACGTCCTTGGAAATGCAGCGTTGAGCCCTACTAGGTACGTGTGCTCAGAAAGGAACAGGTAGCTGTGGCATTCTGTTGGTGGTGTTGGAAGGACTGTCACGTTGAAGAAGCACACTGACTTACTGATTTGTCCTGCCTAGCAAATAAGACAACTGAAACCAGTGCAGGGGAGTGACAGGAAGTCCCTGCACAATTGTGAGTTCCTAGGGACTAGCCCAAGTTGCTCACGGACTAGAGGAGTGGATTCAAACCCAGAAGGATGAGGCTAACAGGGATGTTATTCATAGGGTCTGTGGGAGAAGGTTGAACACTGTATGTTCTGTGTTTCTTAAGCCAGGTGATCACAGGCCCTGGGTGGCTAAGGGCATCCTGGTGTGCACCTCTTGTTCTGGCCTAATTATTCATAGTGCCTGCTTTCTCTGAAGAGTGTCGCATGTTTGGGTGCTAAAGAGTAGAGTCACCCCACAAATCAGCTTTTAGGGTTGCAATGGTGGTTTCATGGTAGAATTCTCAACTTCCACGTGGACATTTCAGGTTTGGTTGCACGCACGCACGCCAGCCATCTTCAGGTAAGGCTGCTATGTTGCTATGGGGCTGACTAGGTTTCATCTGTGCTTTCAGGCTAAGGCCAAGAAAGAAAGATCTGGCGATCGCCTTCCTAAAAACCAACCAGTGAGAACCCATCACAGCGATCTACTTCTTTGTCCACAGAGGCTGTGCACACTGGGAGCTGCCTGAATGGCATCCAGTAGCAGTCACCAACAGTTTAATTCTAGAGGAAATGCTTTTAGAAATTGTTTTTTAAAAGACTTGAACAAGTTTGTTGTAATTTAAGAAAAAGACATCCCCCCAAATTCCAGCCGCCCCCTCAAATAATAATACTCAAACTGAATGCTTTTAAAATGAATTTAGGTTTAGTAGATAGGATCTTTTAATTTTTCTGAGTTCAAGGCGTGGTGGTGCTTTGGGCTAAGTGTTGGCCTGCTAATTGCTAGGTCAGCAGTTCAAACCCATCAGTTACTCCTTTGAGGGAGAAAAATGCAGCTGTCTGCTCCTTTAACGATGTATATTTCTCAGAGCCCTAATAGGGTCTCGGGGAGTTGGAATTGACTTACTGGCAGTAGGGTTTTTTGGTTTGTTTGTTTAATGCATGTACCTAGACATAGCTAAGAGTTGTATATTTTCTTGTGTTCTGCTAAGAGTTGTATATTTTCTTGTGTTCTTTCCAACAGAAGGCAGACGGTCACGAGCACGCCTTGCTGGATTGAACTCCATCTGAACGGACCTCTGCAGTGGTTGGACAAAGTGTTAACTCAGATGGGCTCCCCGTCAGTGCGCTGCTCAAGCATGTCGTAAAGCTTCACCAATCAAGTCCCCTCCAAAGACTTCTCATGTCACAACTCTTCTGTCCGAGTATGTGTGTGTGGTCCCCGTGGACTGTTTGCGATCCAAAAATCCAAGAGAGAAAACAGCACTTGAGGTCTCCTCAGTGAAAGCACCTTGTGGAACCCGTTTCCTAGATTCGGATATTAGACGGGAAGATTCATGTCTAGAAATACCCTCCCAGACCAGGAGCAAGAGCTGATTTTAACGACTTGCTGGTGTCTTCTTGGGCATAAAACTTGAGTGTCCCAAAGGTTTATTATTAACAGCAGTAGCAATGTGTACAGGGGATGTATCATGATCAGTATCACAGTATTGTGCTGTTTCTATACATTTTTAGTTTGCATAAATTTAGGGGGGTGTGCGTGTGTGCGCGTGCTCTGTGTGCGTGCTGCTTCTTGTTTTAGGCAAACCTTTATAATGTTACAGTACCTAATCTGTTACTCCCATGTCTCCGTTATTTTTGTGTCTTTTTTAATATATAATATATATCAAGATTTTCAAATGATCATTTAGGAGCAGATTTTCCTTGTAGAAAAACTAAAATTTTTTGCCTTTTACCAAAAATAAACTAGTGGGGGAAGAAAAGTGGATTAACTTTTGAAATCCTTGACCTTAAACGTGTTCACTGGGGCTTAACCATTGGTTCTTTGTTTGTCTGCTGACGGCTAAAACTTCATTGTGGAAACTGTATTGAAGATCTTCCCAGGCCTCTTCTCCATGCCCACTGAGGCCTCCCCAACCAACGGAGCCTGGCCCCTGCCTCCAGGCTCAGTCGCACCGTGCTGCTGGCTGAAGTTGCTCCTGGGCTGCAGTAAATACACAGAGTTGTTCCCCTGGCCCGTTGACCACATTCTAACTGGCAATAGCTCCTTGTGTAAACCATAGCCGTCTATTGCCTGTCCTCCTTCACACCCAGGAAAAACGCAGGTGGCAGTGCCATTACTTTCAGGGATATACCCAAATTACCTCCACATAGAAAGCCCATCGAAAAATCTAACTTCTCCTTTTACAGCACGTGTTTAAAAATATCCCAGCCGCGGACCCTCTGCTCTCTGATTTGAGCAGTTTCATTGGAATTCCGTTTCTATCTCCCAGGTTGCATTAGGAAGCGGGCATTAGGTAAATGTCATTGCTTCTGCAAAATGCCTAGAGAAGTGTGATGGGACTGTGGTCAGCAGATAAAGGGCCGTCTGTCTTCAGAATGTGATGTTCGTGATTTACACAGTCCATGTCAGGTTGTTCAAGTACGAACTTCTAATGAAAACACAACACGGGAAGAGAAGCAGTTGAGCAAGTTTGTCAGCTAGTACTTCTCTGCAGTCTGAGTTTGGTCTTTGAACCAGCCCCAACCCCCCACAGGGCTGACAGTTTCTGTACTGACTGCCCTGTGGTGAAAGGGAGCTCCAGACAGAGTTGCCCGTTGGGTTGTGCAGCAAACGGGAGGTGAATGCATTGCTATTTACCTTGAAGGGAGATCTTTGCCTCTTGCTCTTTGAAACCAGACTCACTGGTCTTTATAGGTTGTCATTTTCAGTATTTTGAGCATTTGATTATTTCCTATTGGATGCTGCCCATGTTCCTGTATTTGTATGTTTAAGTATTCATAAAGATTTGACAAGATTTTTTTCCCTATTCATTCAAAAAATATATTGTGTATCTACTTGTGCCAGGCACTTCTTTAGAAAAGGGTGAACGGGACGCATGGGGCCTCTCCCTCGGCGGAGTCTGCAGCCCCTGTCACCCTTCACCACCGTCCTTGTCTGCAGGAGACACAAGGGGCCTGTGGTTGAGCTTCACAGAGGGGTGCTTCTGAGAGGAACCTTGTAGACGGCCTCCTCGAGGAAGTGAGGCGGGCCAGAGCTGAGAGAGGGAGGGAGAGAGAGATGCACGAGGATAGTACCAGATTTGTTTTTTAAAGGAAACCCACAGTTAGGTATTAAATGCTTCATACAGATACTTCTTCATGGATCCAACTGTAAGAAGCAGACTGGTTCTATCATTAACAAGAGGTGGCCTTATTTTCCAATACATTGCTTCATAGCTCACTCCTTTTTCTTCTTCCTTAAACCCTCGTTGGCCAGATCTGGTCCGTGCACCAGGTCAATCAATACCACTTGATTTGTCAACCCCTTCTTTAAGTTAGCCACAGCGACTACTACTGCCCCTCTCTCATGGTTAGTCTGAGTATAGGTGCTTCTACCCTTGGACCCCACCCCCTGGAGGGAGCCAGCACGGCCCCTGCCCCCTGTGGCAGTCTTTCTGTCCTTGGAACAGTTGGGGGAACAAGGGACAGCTCAGTAAGTGGTCCATGGTCCTGGCAGTTGCCCCACCCCCCACCCCTGTTGGTCACCTTAAGCCAAGCAGTGTCAGCTCTTAACCTTCCAATACTGGGCACCTCCCTACTGGCTGGAGGGGGTGGTTCTGTCCACCGTGAGGGCAGGACTCAAGTCGGCCTCCTCGCTGTGGTGGTCCTAGTTGTATGCATGTGTTTGTTTGGTTTTTAATGAGGTACTCGTATTACATTTGATTTTCTCTACCATGGCCTAATTTGTATTACTTTTATTTTTTACCCCATCACTATTTTTTTTTAATCGTTTTCTTAGGGGCTCATACAACTCTTATCACAATCCATACATACATCAATTGTGTAAAGCGCATTTGTACATTCGTTGCCCTCGTCAGTCTCAAAACATTTGCTCTCCACTTAAGCCCCTGGCATCAGGTCCTCATTTGTTTCCCTTCCCTCCCTGCTCCCCCCTCCCTCATGAACCCTTGATAATTTATAAATTATTATTTTGTCATATCTTGCCCTGTCCGACGTCTCCCTTCACCCACTTTTCTGTTGTCTGTCCCCCAGGGAGGAGGTCACATGTTGATCCTTGTAATTGGTTCTCCCTTTCTAACCCACCCTCCCTCCATCCTCCCAATATCGCCACTCATGCCACTGGTCCTGAAGGGATCGTCTGTCCTGGATTCCCTGTGTTTCCAGTTCCTATCTGTACCAGTGTACATCCTCTGGTCCAGCCGGATTTGTAAGGTAGAATTGGGATCATGATAGTGGGGGCAGGGTGTGGGTAGGAAACATTTAGGAACTAGAGGAAAGTTGTATGTTTCATCATTGCTACATCGCACCCTGACTGGCTCGTCTCCTCCCCGAGACCCTTCTGTAAGGGGACCCCATCACTCTTTATGAGGGGTTGGTTTTGCTCTTCTGATCGGGTCTCCCCTCTGTTGAATGTTGTCTTCATTGAAATTCGCAACGTTACTTTGGATTCGTCCTGGACCGTGCTGGGATTTTCTCCGTTTCATGACATGAGAACAGAAGGGCCATGCATGCTGTCCCCTGCGTAGGACGGGGCTGGTTTTCAGAGTAAGGCTGCCTCACCTTGATGATGGTGGTGTGGGCTGTGGGAGGGTGGGGCCCTCACAGACTTGGGTCTAACCAGGGATGGCTTCATTTTCATTCAGCACTGGAGTGTCAGCTACGAGTTTTTTAGGGGGAAAAAGAAGTAAACATTGTTTTAGTTTGGATTTTTAAAAGCCTTTGAAAAGTCTTTCATGGCGTTAAAACGAGGAAATAGAACTGGACTGGGCCAACTTTCTTGAATACCACCAACTGTGGACTATATTTCGGAGGGCCTTTTCCCTGGCTAGGTTTGAATTAGACGGATAGGACATTATGATACATACGTTAATTCAAGAAACACTCAATGACGCTTTTTCTCCAGCCAGCCACCGTGGTAGATGTTGAGTACTAAAAAGATGAGTGGAAGAGCTTGCTGCTCTCCCGCTGTGCTCGGTCCGGCTTGTCTAACTTCCTCTAGCCCTCAGGACCTACTTGCCAGAAGCTCTGCAGCCTAATTTTACCTAAGAGCTAAATGTACTTTTTCTGTACCCTTACTTTGTATTCCAAATACATAGTTGCAAATTGCTGAATATTCTAGCTTTTGCTCGCTGTTTAGTGTAACCTTAAGCCCTAGCTAGTTGTGCTTCGTTTGTCTCTTTTTAAAAGAAACTGTCAAGTGGTTCTTTGTTAAAAAGACATTTTCCTCCCTTGATTTGTGCCTTCATTGCCATGTCCATCGAGGTCCACGTTGTAGGTGAGGGTCCAGACACCCCCTCCTGGGAGTTCAATCTCATGAAAAGAGGCCGTACAGGAGGCTCAACACGATGGCAGAGAAACGGAATGGAGACGTGGGCACTTTTCTGAGAAGTTTTTGATGTCTCTACCTGTGCCAAACTCCATCCAAAAATACCTTTCAGAGTCTTCTGTCCTGATTCTAAAATCTAAATACTTGGAGCATTTACTCCCTTCTAGGGACCTACCCTCCTGGTGTGAGAAGATGGGTGATGTGATGGTGGGGAATGAAAGGACACAGGCAGTTCGTGTAGTCTAGCCAAACCACCCATGGCCATGGGCCTCCCAGATTCGGTGCATCGAGAAACCAGAGACGTAACCCACTGTCTTCACGCGCTTTCCTCCGTCCCCTTCACCTTCCTCGACTGCATTTCTTCCTCCTCCCCTTCTGACAAGCGTCCGACGGTCGGTCACCCCATGCGTTGCCTGGGAGGAAGGTGCACTTCACGCTCAGACTCCCATGCTCAGGAGGTCGTTGCTTTCAGCATGCTCTCTGCGATCTTTCGGGCTGTATTTTAAAATGGCGGGCTGCAGCCAACGATGGCCCTCTGTCACTAGCCTTCTTTCCATTGCGGGGCTTACTGAGTGTTGTAAGCAGTGTGGTCGAGAGTAATGATGGGGGGGGGCGGGGCAGTCCCCAAGGGCAGTCTGCAGCCTGCTGGAGAGTTTCTGCTGTGTCCTATCAAGTTGTCATGGCTTGGGGTCGTGGTTTTTGGGGGGGCATGAGTGGAATGCTGGTCTTAGGAGCATGTCTCAACCGAGAAATGTGAGCCACACTACACAACCCCCATGACAGCTTGGATGCTAAGCATTTGTCTAGTGCGTTCTCCTAGTTTCTTGAATAGGAGCTGTTGTAGCTACCTTTATATAGTGCGACACTGCCTCAAATCTTTGTGGTAGGAAGTCAAGTAAGCGCTATCTGAATCATAGCTATAAAGCCTTGGTGGTGGTGGTGTAGCATGTTGAGCTGCTAACCTCAGGGTTAGCAGTTCAAAACCACTAGCTATTCCACAGGCGAAAGATGAGGCCTTCTACTCCCATAAAGAGTTACAGTCTCAGAAACCCACAGGGGCCTTTCTAACCTGTTCCATAGGGTCAGTGTGTGTCAGCATTGACTCAGTAGCAGAGAGTTTTGAGTATTCATTACAGAAAAGCTAACAGGAAAGGGGTGTGTGTGTCATTTTGGCAGTTTTGGTTTATTCATTTGTTTAAATCTTTGGCCCCAGTAAAAAATTAGGCAACTTGACAACTGAGAAGCATCGTGAGAATTTGTTAACATCAAGTAAAACTCTCCCACGGATCCTACCACTGTGTGTCTGTATAGACCCTGTGTTCCCCGGGAGGACCTTAGTTAGGATGCATTTTTGTGGGGGGATGTCAGATTGCCCTTCCTGTGTTTTGCATCCAGGTGGAGGACCGCTGTGTAAGACACTCTGAAGGGCTCCCACCAAGTCAAGTCACGTTGTGTACTGAAGGGCTCTCTGCAGGTGGTCTGCCCCTACTGGACTAGCTTGGACAGCAAGCGGGGATCCTCCCAGGTTCTTTGGGCCAAACTCCTGGGAGATCTGACCAGAGTACATTAGCAGAGTTACCCTCGTGGCCATTGGTTTGCTGCCCTCAGCTCCATGATGGGGTTTCCAATTCCACCATTGTTTATACGGAAAGGCTCCTTGGAAGACCGCGGATGGGAGGGAAATGGCGTTTTTTAACTACACAGAGGACTTCGCATGTTCTCCCAAATCATGAACAAACACCACCCACCCCCAAATGTTACTCGTTTTTCCAGGCGTTTTGAGGTGGGGGTTGGCCTTTGGTGGACTTTGAATTTTAAGTTAGCAGAGATGATAATATACTGACCAAACAATGAAAGTCACCATACTGATTTAAGAACAGAAATGAAATTTTAGAAATACAAAAATACTTTCACTTGATATTTCTAATTTGTGCCCAACTTTTCTCCCCTCTCCCTGTGGCTTCATGGTTTGGGGCTGTTACCTTGCCACATTTCTCACTGTTTATTAAGCTTTACTGTTGCTATCGTGTGATGTCTGTAGGCACAGGCGTCTTACTGAAAGGCTCTCCCTTCTCCTAAGAGAGCCTTTCTCAGCGAGTCTCTAAGAAAGGATCTCTCTGTCCCCCGCCCTTGTCCTTCACAATCTCGAGGAGCTCAAACTGGAAGCCATTTGGGTGCAAAAGACCGGGGTTCTTCTAGTCACTCTGTGTACCTGCCGTAAGAATGCACCCCTTCGTTCATGTCGCTGATAGAGACAGGTGACGCTGGGAGAAATAACTACCACGTGTTTAGCAAGTCAGGTCATGTGTAGACTGCATTTTAACAACCCTCTTGGTTGGCAAATCCAGGTTGGGCATTTCTTAGACCAACTTTACCTCACGCTGTGTTTGTGCTCTTTGGGCCCCAGCTCTCAGGCTGGACTGTCTGGCTGTCTTCCTGAGTGGTAGTGAAGCGACCACATTGGACCTTTTTCCACAAAGAGGGCAAGACAAGAAATCCCTCGGAGTGCACCAAGCAGCCCTACCATGGTTGAACAAGATCACGGTATTGTAGGCAAGACCAAAAATGGCTTTCTCTAAAGACTCTCTCCTGCCCTCTTTTCCCAAGGCTAGAATTTCTGGTGCAGCGCAGCTCCGCCTAACATAATTCCAGGCTTTTGTAATCCAAGGGCAGAACCTCTAGTCCACCTTCCCCTCAATGTGTGCTGCCGGGAGGTGGGAGCTGGTTGATAAGAGTTTTTCACCTAAAGACTTTGAAGAGAAGACAAAACCTCAACAGGAGACATACAAAATAGAAACCGGGGACCCTTTGACTGAATTACCAGAACCACTCCCCTCGGGGTTTGCCTTAAAGTGGCTTCAGGGTAGGCTCTTGACTATCTGTGCTCTGCTTAA